GATCCATATGTGGAACTGAAAAGAATGAGATCAATATTCACTGGGTGTCCCAGGACAACACAGAGCTTTAAGAAGTTGGTAACAGGTACAGCACATGCCCAGCATGCATAAGATCTTGGCTTAGGGGTGGAGACAGTCAGGCCACTTGTCAAAGAATTAATATGGCACCGAGGGTAGAGCAAAATCTTCATGAAACATTAATTCTTCTACCTTAAAGACAGGCATGTAAAAAAAAAAAAAAAAAGACAGGCATGTGAGGCTGGGCATGGTGGTGCATCCCTATAATCCCAACACTCAGGAGGCTGAGGCAGGAGGATCACTGTGAGTTCATGGCCAGCCTTGCTACCAAGTGAGTTCAAAGCCAATCTGAGCTACAGAGTGAAACCCTGTCTCAAAAAAAAAAAAGACAGGCATATGTATAGTCAATCTCTTCCATATCACCTAGGCTCCTCAGAGGGAAAGGGACCGGGTCACCTTTGTGCCTTGCACATCATAGTTCCCAAATACATGTTTGCCAAATAAAAATCCTAGTATTGCAATTTAAGACCAAAGTCACTTTTTACCTGTGGAATGATGCCAGCCTGGCTTTCTTCCTGTTTACCCATCATTGTGTAGGATTTCCCAGCACCAGTCTGCCCATAGGCAAAAATACAGACATTATAGCCCTCAAAGGCATGCAGGAGCATTTCCTTCCCAATGTCATTGTACACGCGGTTTTGAGATGCAAAGCAAGGGTCTTCAGGCTGTAAAGATTAAGCGGAATAACAAAGGGCATTTTAGTCATATTCTTTCCTATATTATATGATTACTTCCATAATTAAGTGTTTCAAACCAGAAAAGTCGCCTAAACTGTACTATACATTTGTAAAGTAGCCCTTACACAGATTTTTCATTACACACATGCTGCTCAGCGGTGTGTGCACATGCTCATACGCAAAGTGAGTTAGCCATACATAAAAATTGCTCCATGAAGTTACCCGGCCTGATTACATTTCACTTTCTACACCCTGCTGGTACTGTTCTTCCAGTCCTGAGAAGCTCCAACGGGAGCATCCTTCTCTTCCTCTCCGCAAATAGTTCATCCTGCCACAGACCTTCCCCTGGCACTTGGGCTCTGTCACCAGCTCAATACATACCTTACTCCTCAACACAAAACAGGAAAAATGAAATCAAAACGTGTGACAAGAGATGGACAATGCAGAGATGAGTTCTAGGTTAGACACACTGCCAGGAATCAGTGAGACCAGGCTCTACTCTGAGGTTGTGCGCTGGGGAACAGCTGCACCCCTCCACTTCCTGGGTGCTACAAGCTCATTTACTCTGAGAACTGGTAGGCGCTCCCAGAAAGTTCAAAGCCCACCTCCTCCTACTGCAACTAAAACAATTAACTGAGGTCATTCCAATCTTCCTAGCCATTCTCTCAAACTTTAATTTAAAATTAATACACTGAACAGTTTTTTTAAAATTTGACACTCCCTAAAATCTATAAGTATAGTAGTAAGAATCCTAAGATATTTCTTTTTCTTTTTTTGTGCAGGGTCTCACTATACAGCTCGGACTCATAGTGATCCTCCTGTTTTCAGCCTCCATACTGACGGGATTACAGATGTGCACCACCATACCCGGACTCCATCGCTGGGTCAGCGTGCCCAGTGGGCAAGGCAAGCATGGCATGTGGTGCCAGGGATTGAAGCCTGGCCCTTGTGCTTGCCTAAGCAAACGTTTAGTCTGGTGAGCTATTTCGCAGGCCCTCTGAGATATTTCTAAATAAATACTCAAGAGAGTCTAATGAGATTAAATTAGGTTTATTATAGACTTAGTTTACAAAGATCAGTTTTTATGTGTGTATTATACATAAACTTTCCATCAACCAAAATACTTTACTAAGAACACTTTGTTCTGGCTAGATAGAGTGGTGCACACTGGTAATTGCAGAACTTGGGAGGCTGAGGCAAGAGGATTGCTGAATTCAAGGCCAGCCTGGGCAACATAGTGAGATCCTGTCACAATAAAACAACATCAACAAAAGATACTTTATTCTTCAGACAGTATTCACTGTATCAAAAAGTGAACTCAGGCTAGACCACACTTACAAAGCAACAACTGGACCTGTTCAGACAAAAGAAAAGACAAACAGGCAGATAGGAAGGAAAAGGGGAGCAGGAGACTCACCGAGGTGTGAGACCAGTAGGAGTAGTCAAAGCTGAAGGACTTTGGTGCTTCCTTTGGGTTCTTTGGGTTAATAATACCTAGAGAATGAAAATGTTTATTTCTGTTAAATCTATCAGGTACAAGTTCTTTAATTCAACATGATGTCATACTGCATGCTCAAAACATCTAATCAGTATATTCAAACCGCCAAGTCTCAATAAAATAATCATAAAAAGAAGTACCACATTTTTAAGAGGAAATTTACATAAGGAATTTGGAAGAAAAAAATCAGACCAGTGACATTCATTATGGGTTTCCAATACTGTGAAGAGAGCCTGGTATACAGCAAATTCTCAGAAAATATTCTGCAAGTGAGAATTAATCTGCCATGGACATGTTAGCAGTCAAAATTTGGAAATGGATGGTGTTACTATTTCAAGGCAACTCGTAAGATTTAAAATATTTCAACACATCCAGGACTGCATTAATCCAACCACAACTGGAAACAAATTCTTTCTAAAGATCTTACTCTCTACTTCAGAAAGCATCTGGTAACAAAGTACTCACTGCAGTCTTATTTCTAAAACCCACAGCTGACAATAACAAACACGTTAAGTTATTCCACACAAACGTGTATATGTAAGTACATTCACACAGGGGAGTCCCAGACTACTAAATCACCTGTAGAATGCTACAAACAGCAGAAATACTTTTTGACTGAAGAGCACGAAGTCTCACTGCCCATAATAAAAGTGATTTCTCACGTAATCAAACCAGGCACACTGCACCTCAGGGGGCCCCTGTGACTGCAAAAGCCTAATAATTTCTTACTTTCTTTCTCACACAAAGGTTTTTTTTTTTTTTTTTTTTTTTTTAATCGGGGATAGAACTCAGCTTTTAGCTCCTCATATTTCATGTGGAACAAAATCTTTCTAACATGTGGTCATGAAATCTCAGAGTGGACATCTAAACCAATCCCCTTCTCTACAGCAGGGACACATCCTCAGCGATCAGTGAGGTCAGGATTAAAAAATAAATCTGTCCCAGGCAGCTGCTGCTCAGGACACAAATAGCAACAGTTGCTATGGTGCTTACTTCTCCGCTGGATTCCACTGGGTAAGCCACACACTTATGTTCCAACCTCAAATGCTGACAAGAGCATTAATAAGGCTCACACTGTGCACAAGCACGTGACAAGGGGACACAGTTCTAGAAAGAACATCTCCAATGCACACGGTAATGCAAGCAAAGAAGTGCGCTTCTAACCAACACACAAGATTTAAATAACAGCAATACTGTATTCAGGGAGCAGACATCTTTTTCAGGCTGCCGTTAAGGATGAACCTTTTTACCCCTCCCAGCCAGACATGGGGCAGATCAAGAGAGGCTTAGGCACTTTCCCAAGGTTACAGGCCTAGCTAGCCAGCGGCAGATGCAGGAGCAGGGGGACACTGCAGCAGGAGAGTTTGGAGCAGGAGCGTTAGGAGCGTTAGGCTCAAGCGTGTGCTCTCTGCCAAGACCTCACCCAGGTGCCTATTCTATGCCACTGTTTGCCAAGGGAGAGAGAAGTAGGTTATGCATCTGTATGCAAAAGTGTATGTGTATATGGCTATCATCTTAAAATTAAACCACAAAGATTGTTGTTGAAAACTCTTTATACTCAGGATAAATCCTGAGGGGATTTCACTGACCTTATCAGACCCAAAAGCTACAATTCTTGTTGCACAGGTCTTGCTTTATCTTGGTCTTAACCACCCAGCAGAAAAGTATAAAAACGAAGTATAAGAAGTAAAGCCATGGTGTTATGTTGAGCTGTAGGAGACTCAGGTCAACAATTTCTGATACTGCCAGTGAAGCAGAAGACCCAATACTATTATGGACTACTGGACTCTTAGAATATTTTGCTGAGTTAACACACCTATAATATTCAAATAACGGAACTAAACAAAAAAAAGGGATACAGATGAATGTCCATTTTGTATCTGTGTATTCAAAGTGGTTAGGATAGATACATAGTTACATTCTCTTAATGAATAGAGGGATTTGTCCTAATAGTGTTTGTAAATAGGATATCATGTCTGCATCTTGTACAGCAAATAACCACTAGGAAGAATTATGCAACCTGTTAATTATTGAAAATGTCCTACCAATTTGGTTTGAAACTGTCTCATTGCTATTTGTTTATCAATAAAATTATAGGAAAAAAAGAAGAAAAAACCTCTTTTTAGCCAGGCATGGTGGCACATACCTCTAATTGTAACACTCAGAAGGTTGGGACAGTAAGAACACAAGCTGGAGGACTGTTTAGAAAATTTGAAGCTAGCTTGGAAAAGACAGCAAGACACATACTACCTTGAATATATGAAATATTTCCTAATAAAAAAATGAAAGTCCTAGAACTTGCAAATGGAAAGATTCTTTTAGGAATAAAATATTGATGACAGCATTGCTAATCTGAAGACTGGACACTCCAAGCATGGTGGTGCATGTTTGTAATCCCAGTGCTTGGGAGACTGAGGCAGAAGGATCACTGTGAGTTTCGGGCTGACTTGGGCTACACAGTAGGTTTGAGACCAGCCTGAACTACACAGCAAGACTTTATCTAAAAATAAATAAATAAATAAATACCAAATATACCACTTACTTCCATGAACAATGAGTTACTGTTTTCATATATGCCAAGGGATTTTTCTTTCTAAATTAATAATACTTGAGTTCCAGCTCACTACCTTTAACATAATTATGATATAATACAAGAGAGAGAGATAGTACGTCACAGAACACAGCACTTGGCAAAAATGACCAGTACCAGTACCTGTAGCCTGCCACACCTTTTAAATATTCTATTCATATAAAGAACAATGGGGAGGCCAGGGAGTTAGCGCAGTAGAATAAGCGCTTGCCTGGCAAGTGCAAGGGCCTGAGTTCAACCCCTGGTTCCACCAAAAAAAAAAAAAAAAGAACAATGGAACAAATACTATATTTAGGTGTTTTCTGTGACCTTACATATTACTGTACTTCTGAGTGCTCTTTAAAATTGAGGTAATATCTAGACCAGTAATGGTGAACATTTAGAGACCAAGTACCAAACTGTAACCCCAAACTCATTTACTGCAAAGTGCTAACACTGCAATTAAACCTAAAGACTGTAGGTTTAGTTTAGAAAGAACAACTCTATGTTAACCTCTTTTGTCCTAAAAGAAAAACACAATAACACAGGTACCATACCACCACTCACTAGACTTTACAGAATTAAATAAGTAAAGCATTACACAAATATTAAATTTTTTAAAATAGTATTTTGTATCTTGTTTTAAATTCTCTCAATACTTGCTGGTATGAAAATGATGCTTCATGGTCTTTAAACCACAGCAAGAAAATTTCTGTTCACTAATTTAAAAAGTAAGGACAGCATAAAATGAGAATGTTATTTCTTGGCAAGAGTCAGAGTAAAATATTCACAGCCTTTGGAGGCTGTGCGTGAGGTCTCTGCTTTTCCTACTGCCTCACAAATCCCTTAAGAGCAAAGAGACATCTTACGGACGCTCTACATCGCCTCCACAAAGCTGGCTTGCGGTCAAGTGCCCTCCGTGCGGGGCACAATTTAAGTTTGGCTGAATACCATACCATTTTCCAGGGAACAAAAGGAACAATCAGAACAGGGAATGTAAGATACCAGCAGGTTTTATCAACTTTCCTGACAGAATATAGAAAAAAACAGAATTACTGAAAGACTGGGTAAAAACACAGTGGGGTTGGTGAGGGGGTTGGAATGTCAGTACTGGGGATTGAGCACAGGACCTTCTTACTGAGCTAGATCTCCAGCCTTTTATTTTTTAAATGTTGAATCATTTAAAGGGTCTCACGAAATCACTAAATTGCCCAGGCTAGGCTTGAACTCATAATCCTCTTACCTCAGCCTCCTAGAATGCTGAAATTACACCCATGCCTAGCTTAAACAAATGGTTCTTATATCAAAGTCGACTGAGCTTAAAACAGAGGGTAGGGCTTCTAATTTATTTCTCAGAAAGCATGCACCTTAGAATAGGGTTATGGTAATTACCAAATAGTCAACATAGAAGCCATATTTTCCCAAGGTAAAAGCTGTTCCAAATATAGCACCCATTCGCAGGGTGGAGTGCTGCCAGCAAACAGGCTTTATGTAGGACACATCACCATTTGTCCACAAGAAATAGATTCCAGTCATATTTTTTTGAGAGCTGAAGTCAGAACATTCCTCTCTTTTAAGCACTGTAGAGTGTGGGTTCGCTCCTATAAAACCACCTTTTCTCACTGTAATTGTCAAGGCTGCTTTTACGCCTGCATCTGAGGTCTTCTCTCTGAGGTGTTCCTGGACGCACAGTACAGTATATTCTGGACCTGGACCCACCCCACGGCTGCCTTTTCACAGATGCCCTGGAGTCGCCTCCACAGCTGATCTGTTCTTCAGCTTCCTTACAAGTATTTCCAGCATCCCAGGGCTCCTCCCTACAACCCCAGTCCACATCACCACCTCTCATACTTGTGGTGTCCCCTAACTGGAGCATGGAACAGATGTATGCACAGGAAATGTCAGCTGCTGCAGAAGGCTTAGATACTTCTGCCTGCCCTCTGTATAAAAGAATGACCCCTGAGAGAACTGCATCTAGAATCAGAAATGTGTGAGTCCTGGTATGTGTGTTTTCAAAGAGAAGAGTCCACTCCTTTATCAAAAGAGTTTTGTCTCTTGATTCAAGACTAAACTTTCTCTTACAATTTGATCCAACATTCAATTATTAAAAGGCAAGCTGACCCTTAAAACACTGACATTTTCAAGGATTTTACCAATGGAGCAAGTAGGATACTGCAAAGGCTTTGTCCTGACTCCACTCTAGGTGTGAAATACTACTGCAGGTCTGTCTGCGACTTGAGCGCACTACAACACTGCAACCCTCAGTTTTCTTATATGTAAAATGAATGCACTAGTAATAGTGCCTAACTTCACAGAACTGTTGTGAAGTTTAATTGCTAAGCCATGTCAATTCCTACCTAGGGTCTGCCACAAGGAAAATGTTCAGAATATGTTACTGAACAAATGTTCTGAGAGTACTCCACATTC